AAAACTTTAGAAAATAAACTGAAGTCAAATAAAATTAAACTGAAATAAAATTTTAATTCTAGGAACATTTTAACTGCCAGTAAACGTGCTCATATAATTCATTTTAACGGTTTATTTTTCTTAATATAATATGAGGGGGTGACAAATAGTTACTAATTTATGCAATGAGCTGAAATTTTTTAAATAAAGTGATTTTCCATTTGATTTTAAGGAAAGACATAAGTTGATTAATTTTTCTTCATGATAACCTACAGATAATATCCATATATACGAAGGGATCAACTAATATCTTGGAATTCATTTTGTTTTACCTTATTCATGGAAATGTGTTCAATAGAAAAAAAATGATCAAATTTTAAGATTGTAAGTAGTTATAAAACTTTTTCAATGCATGCAAGGTGAAAGTATTCTGTTGACAAGTTAATTTAAACCAAAGAAATGGTTTTTATGCCTTGCTCGAAAGTATCATGATAAAATTACCAAATTTTACCATATTTGCGAAACTATATAGCATACTATAAAATCATATTTAATTGTTAATTTTTCCATAATCATGACTAAAGCGCTTCGGTAAAAATTACCGAGTTTCTTGGTGTTCCCATTGATAGAGCCAGAAGCTCGGAGAATTTTTACCATATTCTTATACTTTTGATAATGCTTTTTTCCTAAGAAACTGACTAAACTAACTTGATTAATTTTATTCTCAGAATATCATTAGTCAAAAAATTAAATTAATCGAATGAATTCTACTCCATAAGCTGTTAACGAAAAATATTTAGTGTTATAGCGTAAGCTCAAATAAAAAGTTTTAAAAAAAATATATCTACAAATAAAGAGTTTTCCAAACTCTTTATTTGCGAAAAATTATTTCTAAGTTTCTTTTGTTCAAGGTACAAAGCTGAGCCCCTCTTACACATTCACACAAAAGCTATGAAAACATAAAAATGAATGGTTTCATTGAGTAGACTCCTAGTGCTAAAAAAATGTAAAAAATATATAAAATAAAATTTAAAAAAAAAGTATTTTTTTCTTAGTCGAATAGTGGGAGTGGCCTTAAGGGGGCATATCTGTAAAAATGTTTAAAAAAAAAAGGCTGCCTTTTTTTTTGCACAAACTGTATTCTTTATATTTTTAAAGGTATTCAACTTTAAAAACGCATGCATACAATACTGGCACTTCGTAAAATGAGGGGCCGGTGTAAAATAAAAGATCTTTTTGATCGATTTCATAGCTATCGAGAAAATATTGAATGTTTGTTCATTTTTATTGTTGTTTTAAGTCAAAATTTTATTGTTATATAAGGGTAATAATGTGAAAAGGACAAGAGAAAGCCTGTATGTATTACAATCTCAAAATTGTGGTCTTTTAAATTTGACAAAGCAAATATACAATAGGAATAAATTATATAATTAATAATCTGTTAAAAGTCAAAACAAAACATTCTGAGATTTACTACATTTTCAAATTTTAATGTGTGGTAACTTTGAAAACTTTCAGGAAAAGGGAAATTTCAAAATTATAGGCCTTATTGAAACTTTAAATAAAATGCTTCCATATATATAAAAAAGAAACTTGCAAGAAATATTTCTAGGGATATAAGAAAAAAAAATTAAAGTTACCAAAAGTACTTTTTGTTCTGAATTTGTTTTTTTTATATGCTCAATATGAAATTAAAATAACTTTTTTCTGTATTAAAATAAAGTCTACAAAAAATAATGCTCTGATAAAGCAAAAAAACGTGAACAATTGTTAAAAATGCATTTATTTAAAAAGGATTTTTTTAACAATAAAAATGTTTCATTCTGAAAATTTTCTACGTAAGTGAGAATTTTAAAATTATAAGTTCTAATTAAAATTCCAAAGTTTTTCTGTATAAAAGAGAAGTTAAGGAAGAAATACTGTTTAAATTTAAAGAAATCCACAAAGCACATTTGAAAATTTTTTTTAAAAAAAATTAAAAATCGTTATTTAAGCTTTTTTACTTAGCATCTATACTGTTAAGAGTTATTTAGCATCAAACTGTTAAGAGTCGAAACTTAGCAAACACACAGCAGAAATTAAAATTACTAACCTATAGGTTCTATAGGCAATTCAAATTAAATTTTGTGAATAGAGAAAAAGTTTGCAAAAATTTAATGCTCTGATTAAAAAAAAAAGAATTAAAACTTTTAAAAATGCATTTTGTTTAAAAATTTTTCTATTTACACCCAAACCAAACTATCAGGTGTTTGAATTTTACAAACGGCAGAAGTGAAAATTTCGACGTTATCAGTTCTGTAAAACATAAAAAAAAAAAATAAAAAAAAGTAAGAAGAAGGACTATCCTGAATAACTTAATTAATCCAATGAGTGGATTTTCACATTCTAGGACTCAATCCTAATGGTTCGAGGGGATAACCTTGAATATGCTAATTAGTAAGTTCATACGATATTATTGAATAATAAAGTTGTTTCTTGGTTAGGAGAGAGATCAAAAATTTGGATCCCTAAATGTTAATTTTGCGCTTTGTTTATTTCATCATATCTCGAGAACTTTTACTACATTCAATTATAAAATTCATTTATTTAAAGGTAATTCCATGCAGAAAATAAATTTTAGTAAATATTTATTTGATAATTACTTAATTAAACACAGTTAAAAAAATTTTGAATTATAAGGTATTTAAATTTTTAAATAATTTTAAAGAATGTATTTTTACATGGTAAAATACAAAATATGAACAAAATCGGTCGAATACTTCCTGAGAAATCTAATCTTATAAATGCGATCTCACGCGAACACATTTCCTAACTTATATAAATAATTATGATTTGAGAGCCATAATTTTTTGTCAAATGTGTAAATGCGCCGAAACAAATGTCTCTTATCTCTTCTATCTCTGTTAACCCAGTTTCCTCTAATATAAATCAACCTCCCCTTTTAACTTTCTATAAGTTACTTTGACAAACTAGAGCATTTGAGTAATTTTAGCTTCTAATGTTTTTTACTTACCTAAAAAAGATTTGTAAAACCCTTGTCGTAATAGACAGGTGCATTATCTTTAATAGGTAAAGATATCTTTCAGAGACGAAATCGAAATTCTTCATTGGCTATCGGATTCCTTGTAGAAGACCCCTGCATTTGCAGTATTGTGTAAGTTACGAGCTGATAAAGATTTTTGAAAAAGCGAAACCTATCGTAACTAACAAATACTTTTCATTGACAAAAAGAAAAAATTTTGCCGGGGGATTTTTTTTAAAAAAAAAGTGATAAAAACATGCTTGAAGGTCAAACATTTTTGAAAGAAGGATTCTTGAAAGCTATTTAGTGAAATCTGCAAATGTCAAGGCTAATAGACAACATTAGTTACATGGTTGATATCTTATCAGTTTGTTGGAAATGTAACTTAGATTTTTGGAATTACTTTTATTGATGTTGTAATTCTGTATTTTATTCTGCAAGCTTTCTAAATCTAAGGTTCTTTTGTTATCCACCATCTTAACCAATGAATTAATGAATCGTATTTAGAAACTAAAAAAAGAAAGAAGTCCGATTTGAATATTTTAAAAATTAAAAAAGCTTATAGCAATTTTCTAAGTAGTTTTTGCATTTTTTTAAAAGAAAGCTCTGAATGGTAAGGGGCTTTCCACAAATGTTATTTTGTATTAATAAGCAAAATTTATCGAAAATTACACAAGCGTTTTTGGGTATTATCTCCTTATAAGAATGTTTTCTATGTTTATACTATCGCATTCTGGTGTATGGGTGATTATTGTAAGGTATTATCATTTCTTATTAAATTTTGTCTTATACAAAAAATGAAATTTGTGGAAAACCCTTTATTACTCAGAGCTTCCTTTCAAAATTGACAAAAAATACTTAAATTACTTGAACTTTTTAAATCTTCAAGATATTCAAATCGGATTTTTTAATTAGTTACCACATACGATTCACTTCCTAATTATAAAAAAAGTTCAGATTATTTCTTGTGTGTTCAGAGTGTTCGAAAACTCAAATTATTTAGGGTGGTCAAAAATTAATTGCCGGTTTCTCTACCCACTGAGAGCTTAACACTTTATTGGTGAGAAAACGTATAACTTAAACACCTCTAAAGCTATTAAATAAATTTCTAAGTATTTTTTGAGAAATTAAGAAAAATATTAAAGACCAGAAGGGTTTTTTTAAATTATTGTAGGTTAGTGTATCGCAAATCCTTTTCAAAATAGCTACATTATTTTAGATATTTTACATTAATTAGTTTTCAGGAAATTCGCAAAATGTTCTTAGAGTTTTTCCAAAAAAAATAATAAATAATAATTCAAAAAATCATCAAAAGAAAGATAAACTCTTTCTTGTTATAGAAGTTTGTTAATTTTTCTTAAAACTCTAATTACAGAAAATATTGAAGCCAACTAAAATAAGGACATTTTAAAAGAAAACAAAAAAGTAAACAAAAGAAATTTTGTTTCAGAATCAGGATATTTTCTGCTTTTGCAAAAATTAAAAACATCAACTTTTTCAAACATTTTATTTTTTTTAAAAAATCAATTCATCTAAGGCAGGGGTCCCCAACCTTTTTGTACCTAAGAGCAAGTACTAGATCATCGGTCGAGTGGCGGGCACCATTTCTTTTTTTCAAAATAAATTTATAGTTCGTAGACATAGGTAATAATACACACTACATATAATGCACAAAAATTTAATTTTAAAATTTAATTTAACATATAAATATAACTAGTATAAATATTCCTGTGCAAAATAAAAATGATTATTAAATTGCTGGCAAAACATACGAAATATAAAAATTAATTATAAAATACATAAAATACAGTCAATGTGATCTTTGGCATTGCATTTCACAGGCTAGTGCTTCATAATTGGGAGAATATGATGAAATTCCTGCTCGCAAACAATCGTCAAGGTGTTCATCTGTAAGTCGTGATCTATATTTTTATTTTATGATATTCACTGTCGAAAGACTTAGCGCGAGTGGAAAATAGGTAAGCTATATTTCGCTTTTTGCTTACATCTGTGGGGATGGAGGTCGTTTTCCTGGCTTTCTATTTTTGGTCGTGCTTATGAACAATATTGAAAAAGCAAAAAAAAAAATTTCATAGCATTTAATGGGAAAATGGAAAACTGAAATTTTTATCGTTGGGCACAAGCAGCGGGCGCACTTACACCGATCAACAGGCGCCATGGTGCCCGCGAGCATAGGGTTGAGGACCCCTGATCTAAGGTTTTCTAATATTTTTTTTATTCTTTTTGTTGTTAAAGCAATGTATAAAAATAATTAAAAATAATGCAAGTATTTTTAAAAAAATTTTTTAAAAATGTTTCAAGGACCCTCATTAATATACATAAAAAAATCTGAGATTTTTTTTAAAATTATATTTACAATGCAAAAAATTCCGGATCAAATTACTGCAAAACGTACTGGCGCTCAGAGTGTCTATACTTTTTACTGTAAAATCAATTTTTACCGGGACTGGTTACAGAACAATAAATCTGATATGCCGTAATTTTTATAGTAATATTTTTTTAATTTGAGTGATTCCGTGATTTTACGGTGATATTACTATAAAAATTACGGTTATAAAATTTTACGGTAAAAAGGATTTTACGGATGATGCACCTAAAGTGCCGTTACTTTATCCGGAATTTTTTACAGTATATTTAATGATATTATTGATATAGATTTATTTCTTTAGAGACATCATCAGGCACAATGATAATTCCTGTTCCCGGTATTTTTGTGGAAGTATTTTTCACCATACTTCAGTTCTACAGTTATCACAACAGGAGAATCTGAGCATCATTCCAATTTACGATTCTTGGATCATCACTGTCTTCGGCTTCATTTTAACCCTAGCACTTTGTTACTCACTTTACACGTGGTACAAACAGTATAGATTGCGATATCTTCTGAGGGTAAGTACAGTTAAAAAGGCTCCGTTTCATTAGATTTAAATGGCTCAGGAATAGCGATAATCGACATCAGTGGGTAAGTTGAAACAGGATGTTTGATAGCTCATTGTTCTTCTTACATTGCACTACTTAGCGTAAGAATGCCTTTGCACAACGCTCATCAATCAAATCTTTTCAACTGACTCAAACAGAATAATAAAGTAAATGGCATTTAACGAGACATTAAACGAACGGTTAGTTTTATGTATAAAGTTGTAAAAATGCACAAAAATAATATTTGATAGTTAGGGATTATTACCAAAGATTTGTCAATTCAAATTTGAGATGTTTGACTTTAAAATTTTTAGCACAAACACGCTTCAAAGGTATTTTATTTTTTACAGTTTTGCTAGTTAAAATTCGTAAATTTTCAATTAGTTTTTTAAAGTTACATCTAAGCTCGACAGCTCATAGTGGGCTTTGCCCTTCGAATGAAGTTCTTTCCAGGTTAATAACGTTTTCCAATTCAAAGATCAAAAGTTCCTTTTTTTGGCCATCAATTGATTTTATATTTAGTCTTCACTTTCTAAGTGATGCAGCAGGCATTGAAGCTTTTTTTTGTCGTTATGTTCAACGTCCATCTTAATAACTCTGTCTACTTACTTTATTCGTTGTTTTTAGATGATATTGACAACGTTCGGTTCTTTATATGAGCAATAAGGCTCTAAATTGTTCCTTCCCGCCACTTTGGTTTCCTTCCTAAATAATTCTTAAGACCTTTTTTCAAAATATACCTATTATTTCCTTATTTTAACTATAGTTTCAGATACATAGTGTTGTCTAATAAGGTATCTATATAATATAAAACCTTTGTCTTTCCTTGGATTACATTCGATTTCATATATTTCCGTATTATATTTAAGAATTTGCAGGCTTAAGTTAACCTCTTTTGTATTCCTCCTTTAGTTGAAGTACGTGAATATTCACGGTCATATTTATGCATTCTTAAACCTTTCAGCATGCGAGAATAAAACAATTTAGTATAAGCGAGGAAAATAAATTTATCTTATTATTTTCATTTGCATAGATAACCATTTGTTTAAGTAATTTTTTTTTTCTTTTTTAGATTCTTTTTTTCTTCTTTTCTATATTCGTTTTCGCCAAAAGACATAATAATTTAGGTACGATTTTTTTCTAATATCTAAAACAAGATTCCTATATTATTTTTAAAAAATTTTATCTCCCAATTATGTCAAAAAAGTATAGGGTTTTGAATTTTTAAAGTAACTTTTAAGATACTATTCTTTAACTTTTAAATTACGTGTTTATGTTTGTCAAGTCATAAAGCGAATTTTTTTTTGAAAGCTGATTTTTAACTCCATAAAAAATAATCCCTTTCAATGACGGTTTTTAAATCTGCAATTGTTATTATTTAAGATATAAGAAAAGAGTATTACATGTTTTAATTTTAATTCAAAACTTTTTATTAACTTTGACATATTAATACCATGCAGCATGCGTTTGTTACTGTAATAAAATGACTATTTTAATATGAATTTTGAATAAAGATATTTATTTAATTTTTTAAGGTTTTCGTTATTTTATTGTGATTTTTCGAATTTTTACGACAAAATATGTAAGTCTAACTTTCGTAGGATACTGCGCAGCCGCAGGTAAGTGATATATTTTTATAGCATTCAAAGTGCCATTATTTATATAAAATTATTTGATAAATTACCTCAGCCATTTAAATCTTCTCTTATTGTGGAATGTATTTTTTCATACAGTTGATTCATTACAACTTCTGTTGAGTGCGGTTTTATTTTTTAGAAATAAGGCTTTTACTACTAATAGTTTAGATTAGTAATTAGGTTACAACCTAGGTTAAAAAATTAGATTTAATTCAAAAATGTTTATAAAAATATTATTTTTATGAAAAGAAGCGTGCCCTTTATGGTGTTTGCTGACTGTTCTTCGTTTTGAATTGAAACATTTTAATTAAATGATGGAAACTGGAAGTTGATAATTATTATATAATAGGATGTATTGCAAACATTTTTTTTTTCAAAATTCAACTAAAAAAAGTTGTTAGTGCGATCACATATTCACCAAAAAAGGTTTTATTAATGCTTGCTTAAAAGTTTAAAAAATATTAGGCTTTCTTAATTTTTTTCGGCCACAAATGAAAACTTCAAATTATTTAAAAAAAAAAAAAACAAATATAATGCAGATTTTAGTTTTTCAATTTAAAAATGTAATACAACAGTAAAAAAAAATAAATGTAACATTTAATTTTCCCGGAATCTTTATGAAAACCTTTGCCTTACCCAAAATCTACATAATAACCTCTTTTAAAGTTTGCGCAGAGTGTTAAAATATGCACATTTATGAATGATTCCGTGTAGATTTCAAGAGATTCCATGCAGATTCATGCATTACATTATGAATTTTACATAGATGAATATTTTTTAAATATACATTTTTACCCTCTCCTTTCATCAAAAAAAAAAAAAAAAAAAAAAAAAAAAAAAAAAAAAAAAAAAAAANAAGAAGAAGAAAAACTTTAAGCCTATTCCAAGGTCCTAAATATTTTTCAGTTTGAACAAAATTTTTTACAATTTTTCCACTTAATTTGTGAATTTCGAGAAAAAGTTTTCATGATATACATCGTATTAAATGATAAATTTTATACTCGACATAACGAAATCACCTCTAAATTATTTTGATGTGATTATAAACTATTTTCACTATGAAATTCAACAAAAATAATTTAAAAAAACTTTTTGAAATCTTTTTCATAATTTTTTCATAGATAAATGAATTCGATTTTCTATTAAAAGATTTTTCAATATCTTTTTTTTTTAAAAATTAAATAAATAAAAATACTTATTTTCCTTATATATCATTAAATCTGAAAGAAAGTTTTTAAAATAAATTCTTTTTCCTGAAAAATTTTTTATTAAGAAATATGTATTTTTTCAAAAATATATGTATAATGAATTATACTATAAAAAGTCAGTTAAGTTAAAATATTTTTTTAAGCTTTTTAGTCAAATTAAAATAAAAACAAATCGACAGCAAAAAATTTACCGCACATGCACTTTTTTTCCATTACTTTAACTAGATTTGCGAACGTCATCGGAAAGTTCAGAGCGAAATACGAATTTTTTTATTAATTTCAAATCTGATTCATAAATTTAACATTAGCAATTTTAATTTTAACATTAATTTTAATTTTTTGTTTAAGTGTGCCAGATTCTTTAAAGTGAATATCGATCGAATCAGTATGCTTTGATTTTATCTAACTTACATAAAATTATTAATTTTATGTCGAAACTTGCTAAAACATTCTTAATTACGCCTAAAACCTAAAAATTACCGATAAGTGCTTAATTTTAGCTGACGAATAAGTTCTCATGTCGCTATCCTTATTTAATCTTTTTACTTTAATGATAAGTTTAATTTAAAAGCTGAGACATTATTTCTTTCTTTTCCAGATTTGTTTTTTAGGTTTGTTTACATTGCTGGGTATCAACGCTTCTTGTTTTATCGAGTCATGCATTCTGGATAATTCTGATATTGTTTGCAAACTCCAGAGGCATACAGGAAATGTTCCTTCGATTATTTCTGCTTTAGCAACCGCTGTCATGTGCTGCATAAGATTTTATTGGAGTCTACCACTTAACATTCGAAGGGTAATTATTTATTTCTTATCTATATATAGATTCCTCTTAGCAGGTACAATAAGCTCGAGTGTTTCTCTATCTATTGGCAATAGTATAGTAATTATTTATTTTGTTTGGTTGGCTAAGTAATAATCTAAGCAGAGTTAAAAAAATAGTTATGGGTTAAGTATTCATTTAGATTCATTTTGTTAGTTGTCTTCAATAATAGTTTAAGTCGGGTTAAACAATGGGTTATACGCTAAGCATTTATCTCCATATAACATAAAAACATTATGGTCTGACACAGTTTTCAATGGTTGTCGGTGCATTTTTATTGGCCGGAAAATCACATGGTAGGATCCAGTTTTTCCACATTGATTTACATACTGTTTTGGCTGTCATCAGTATAAAATTAATAATAGTCATAAAAGTATTATTTTCTTATAAGTATTTTAGCATCCGTAATTTTGGAAATAATAGCAATACGTAATGATACCAGTACAGATAACAAGGTATTTATCAGTACTGCTATTATTTCCTTTTTGACTTTGACTGTTTTCTAAATTGAGAGTTTAAAATTGAGACACATTTTTTTATTATTATTATAACGTATTTCTAAGCTAGATATTAAGATAAGGTTATTTGAATAGGTGTCTAATCTTATTAAACGTTTCACACAAAATAATTACTTTTGTGCACATTACATTAATAATTACATAAATTACAATTAAAGAGATTTGTTAAATGATTTAGAACTTAATTATCAACTTCGTGAACAATGTAATGCCTTAAAAAATTTTATCCGTTTACATCGTTTTTGAAATTAACAGATTCTCACCTCTATCGTCCAGAAATTCTACTGACAACCAAAATTTTGCAAAGACTTTAAATAAATAAATTTATTTTATTCATCCCTCTTTTGCATCGTCAACATTTATCATTGTCATTGGCATTAGAAACAACACAACGTATACACGTACTACAGCAAAACATCAATTTACAGTTGCGTATATTGCTTTAAATTTGAGAGTTCATTTTAATATATTTCTTAGAGAAAAAATTAATTAAGTTCCCTCCAAAACTATTTCCAGAGATTTCAGATAGAAATGAAAATGAAATTTCAAAATGAAACAAATATGTATTCTTAGTTAGACTTTTCTGATAAAGCGAGAAAGATCAATATTTTTCACCTATCAAAATTAACTATATTTTAAACATTGTATTCTCGATGTATTGCTAATAGCATATCCTACAATTAATATCAAATATACAATAATTGTGAACAAAAAAGATTAAAGTTATTAACCAATGAGCGTGAAAATTATGAAAGTAATTAAGTAATAAGATTATCGCTACGTACAAAGTATCAACAGCTAGAATTATTTTAAAATCGAAGTAAAATGTTTTGAACTATGCTTGTTTTGAATCTCACGCTTATATTAAAACATAATACATAGAATGGATTGTGATAGTCGAAGCGCGATTCAGCCATAATCAAAAAACTACTTACTCAAAAAGTACTATATAAATAGTGGTTTAAAATGCTCATTTCAGAAACTGATATGGTTAATATCAAAACAAATAAAATCAAGCATACTACTTTTCATTAACAAAAAATATTATTGGAAACTCGATTCTATAAGCGTGATTTGTGAATGAGTGTTTTTGCATAAATATTAACTCATATTTAAACTAAAATATCTTAAATAAGCTTATTTTTAATTTCCTTTAAATCTAAAATGAAATTGTGACAAAATCCACCGATTTTCAGATTTACAAATGAATATTTTTTTAATCTAATTATATTTACCTGTTACTTTGTGTGTGTATTATATCTACTAAAAAAGTTTGAATTACTAAACTTATAAATTATTTTATAAATTATTCTGCTCTTTGTTTGAAGTGCCCAGCTGCAACGCTCATTAGCAATTAAGCCTTGTCGGCATATTTATGAACATCATTGTGCTTTAGAATATTTGAAACATTAGAGTATGTGAATGTGTTCTTAAAAACAATATGAAACATCGCTTGAATTGAATAAACTTTTATTCATGAGATCTTAAATTTTCTGCAGTTATAGTGTGCTCGAGATAAATACACACGATTTGATAAAAAAAAATATTAAAAGTAGCTATTGAATTGAATTAAATAAATTGAAAATTGATAACACAAAGATCATGTATATTGTGTCTAACACTTATTACTTATGTATATCAACAGGCATTGAATTCAGAATCAAGCTCTAATCAACGAATTACATTTAAGAATGTTCATAAGACAGCTAAGCAATTAACAGAAGATAAGTTGCAAAGTGGAATTTTAAAAGAATTGCCTCCTGTTTACCCGAATGGCTGGATACCCGTGTTGGAATCGACGGAGCTTTTACCGAAAAGCACAAAAACGGTTACAGCCATTGGTAAGTTATTTTTTGGCGTCTCTGAGAATATTTGTAACTTTGTAATCTACATTAATATGAAACCTAATCCAGCATAATTAATTAATTCGAAAAATTCATTATTACAGCTATTGGTGTGTCATAATCTAACTTATCAATAATAATAAAATGAAGAGTTTATATCTGTATGTGTCTCTTTTATAACTATATTTATTACGATCAAGATTTACTAAAATTTTTAAAATCAAATGTTATATGAATAATTTCATACATTTATAAAGATCTGCAATAATTTAGAATATGAAATATCCTACTATTCTTAAAATTAAACTAGGTGTCAAGTAATTAAAACATCATTAAGTAGTTAATTTTTCATAGATTTATAAATATAAAACATCTTATTTTATCATATGTTTACTAATCATTTAAATTAATCACAAGTAAAGCATTAATTTCTTTGCAGTGCCCTATAGAAACTCCATTATTTTTAATTACTGGCATATCTTTTCTCTTAGATATTATTTTAGTTTCACTTAATACCCTTGATAAGTTACTGAATTAAAGTGTGTACCACTGAAATAAATAACTCTGATTTTGTGCCGAAAATGGACGAAAGGAAAACTAATGAGAACGAAACATGTACATTCAGAAAGTAAGTATATAAATACATATTTACAAGGAGAAAATTATTAATTGCATCACCAGAAGGCACAGAAAAGAAATATCGTATACTTAAAAAAAAAAGAGTTTCGTCGAAATAAAGCCATTTTTCTTCAGTAATATATCCCCCATGTTTATGCATGATTTGAAATATATGATGACGCTTATCATTTACTAATTCCTAAAGGTCAGTGTCATCTATATTATTTTAGGCTTTAATAAAGAGAGCTTTCAATTGAAAAATTAATCGAGACAGCCTATCTTTGGCATATACACCCCTCTACTAAGAATACTCCTTTCTCTTGTTATTTCGATATGTTTTCTTGGGGATTAAAATCAGGAGAAGGGGCAGGCCATCCCATGACGAGCACACTATTATCCAATAGTCACTCATGTCAAGATTTTGAAAAGTGAATAGGGGATTTTTCTGCCGGAAAATCCAACTGTTAGTGGTTGTATTTTTGGTTACCTGCAATTAGTGGTTGTATTTTTGGTTACCGGCTGTTAGTGGTTGCATTTTTGGAAATGGCAGTAATTTTTAGTATTTATTTGGTAATCGGTAGCCTCTATGCCACTTAGGGGAAAAATTGGGTTAAGATTATCTCTGTAGCCGAAGCCTTCCAATAACATTAATGAGCCTCCACATTACTGCATGAAGGAGAAAAAAAATCCTCTTCTTTTCTCATACTATGACACGATGTTCGTAAAAATAGCTTTATTTCGATGTCAGATTTTTATTTATTTCACATTTTTAATTTTTTTTTCTGCCCAGAAGCAAATGACGCCTTGCAAACTGTAAATATGTTTTCATAAATAGATTTTTTTGCTTGTTTTGTCTTTATTGTTTTCTTTGAATTAAGTTACAACATAAAAAAGATGGCCTTCGTTTTGGTGGCACACTTTACGAGGCTTGTTCTGAAAGATACATCACCTATATGTGGAAAGGTAATGTAATAGGTATGAATTTCGGCTGCGTTGACTTTTAACCAGAAGTTTTGGATTCTTTTCTTCATTAGTTTGATAATTTTATATTGAGTCTGGTTAAGTAGTTGTTTTTAATAGACAACTCGATTCAAAATCATGCTGAATGAAGTGTTATCCGTCATAAAATTTCTTACAGCCAAACTTTAGACAAAATAAAGAATATCCACAGAAAGTTGTTTCTTCATCTACACCCATTCTGAATTAATAAAATATGATTAAAAAGTTTTAGTATTAGTTTCTAATGACAAACACATTATTGTTGAGTCTTTTATGACTTCTGATTAGACGTTTCGTAATAGAAATGAGGAACAATCACGTAGAAAAAGCTAGAAGGACAGCGATAAAGCTATTGTTTTCAAAAATTTGCAATAATATATTACCTTTTTTTACACTGTGTATAATGTATTTTGATGTTTTAAGCTAGTCGCTCAGCCAGTTTGGTGGGTAGAGTTTCTTTAACCAAGACTTGAACTGGAGTTCGATTCCCGGGCTAAAAACTGGGCGTCCGATTAGATTGCACTTTCTCCAGTTGAAATCCACTCTAATACAATGTCCTCAGTATTTTCAAAGTCTGAAAAGCTTACGCGTAGTTGGATAATTTAAGAGTGCAGTGTTGAGGTAGCTAATTTATACTACCATCTACTCAATCCAAATTGTGGTAGGTGTATTGTGCGTATGTAACAATATTGTCTTCAGATCATCATAAAGGAGGAATTACAAACCGTACCCTATAACCCATCAGTACAGCTACTGTGCGAAGTTCACAACTGATCCAAAAGTTTCATGCTAACCTTCATAGTATTTTAAATTAGAAACATAAAATATAAATTTAATATACAACCCCATATAATCAACATATTTCATACATGTTTTATTTTTAATAGGAAGAAAATTTTGTGTCTTCAGAGGCTCTGATGAAAAAGCGTATATCTTGGACGCATATTGCCCTCACTTAGGAGCCGAGCTAGCAGCCGGAGGGAAAGTTTTAAATAATTGCATCGAGTGTCCTTTTCACGGGTGGCAGTTCGATGGACAAAATGGACAATGTTCTGCTATACCTTATGCTGATAAAAGTAAGCAGAAGATGATACTATTTATGGTAAAATTTTTTGTTTTAGAATTTACTTTTTATACTATCAAGATTCCATCTGAATATATTATAACTCATACATATATAGTTTACGTAATTTTAAAATGTTCAATAAGTTAATTTTTAAATGCTCGTTTAGAACAACCCAAAGAGATTTTAAAAGTTTCCTCTAGAGACTTAACGGTCTTACACGTGTAAAAATGTTCAGACCACTATTTGTATTTTCAACTAAATTGCGTGCTATCTTAGATACTTTTGTTCTTTTATTAATATTGTATACAATTCTTCGATTTTTCATGGTTGCTGTCGTTTTTAATCAGGTTTTTATTTTTTGGAAAATTGCTCAAAAAAGCTAAGAATTGCTCTTAATGGAAATGAACTTATGTTTCTTCAACCTGGTCAATGTTATTAAGTAATTAATATTTATTATTTAGTTGATTATTATTTGCTTATTTATTGATTTACCTTCGTCATGTGCGTTATTTACTTAAAAAAAATCATTTACTTAAAAAAAAATATCCTGTCATCTCTACATCAAATGACTTACAGATTTTTCCCCATCTTGTTATCTGCAATATTAACAAAATTTGTCAAACTAAATTTTCTTTTCTTCCGAATTATATTAATCGATTTAAAGTTGGAAAACCCTATAATAAAGTTGAAAAAGTTGAAGAATCAAATTAAAGTTAGACACTTCTTAGGGATTATCCGATATAATGCTGAGAGTTGTATGTAATCTACTTGTCCAAAACAAACGAAATATTCATTAATTCTAATTAAAATATTGCTCATAAAACTAATGCAAATTAGATTAATCGTAATACAATTTATATTCACTGATAGCTTGATCGTAAAAAGTATTGAAATCTAAAATTACGGCTTACATAAATATGCTGGGAAGAATAAATATCGATGAGTGTTTTATTTCATATATGTGGTTACGATATGAACGCTTTTCGATAAGTTACGGATGTAAAATTCTTTTCACTGGCAGTAGAATGTTATCATATAACAAAATACAATAAAATAATTAACTGGATTAAAAAAAGAAGAAAATAAACATGAGAAAATAAAAACACGACCGAGATACTGAATCGTGGTCATTAAATTCTTCAAATTCACAGCAATAACCATACGCTTTGATATAAAGTTAAAAGAGGACTTTACTGTAATCAGGTCAAATAGGAACCTTTCAAAATGCGTTGGTGTGACGTCACAATGGAACTTCTTTTAGTATTATTCATCTATGGTTTTTTTTCTTCTTTTTTGCTATGCAAAACATGGCCGATATTAAAATGCCTGATATTTTTTAACGATGTTCTTTGAATTATAACTAGTTAAAATCTTAAAAATGATGAATCAACTGTAGTTTAGTTGCTTAATTCACCGAATCTACAAAGAAAATAAAATATTTTACAATAAGATAATGATAGTTGCTAAATGTTTTACGTATATTTTCATTAAATATTTGCATTTGGTAACATTTACATTTTGTTTAACTTTACATTTTGTAACATGTTTTCCTTCGTTGCAGTTCCTGAAGTAGCAAAAATAAAATCTTGGAAGTCCTGTGAAAAGAATGGCTTTATATTTGTATGGTACCATGCCGATAATGAGGAGCCTACTTGGGAAATGCCATCTGTTTCAAATGTTGAATCGGGTCTTTGGCCCTATAGAGGAAGGACAGAGCACGAGGTTCATTGCCATATACAGGTTAGCTGCGATGAAATATTGAAAAATTTTCTTCTTTATTTTCCGAATTCTGTTAGTAAGTCAGTGACATAGACACAAGATGGCTGAAGTTATGAGTCATCTTTAGACAAAAAGGTATTCTTTTGAGTTGACGAAAATAATCGTTGATTTGAAAAACCAATTTAAGAAAAACGGTAATCTACTTAGAAAGCCAGATTTATTCTCAACAAGTTCCAAAATTAGTTATTAAGTTTGACAACAGATAGCACTGCTAATTGGGAAATATAATGACTTTTTTGTTTAAATTTTACAAATTGCAGTCTAAGGAGCAAAACTGCAGACGCCCTCAGACCCACCTGCAAATTTTTGAATAGGAATGATCTGACAGGAAGTACAAAACGTTTTTTAATAGTTTTTCCCAGTCAACAGTGGTATCTGTTGACAAATTTCGTTACCAATTGTGAAATTTGGTGAAAATAAATATGTCTAAACTCATGAGCATAATGTAGCAAACCTTACATTTATATATCTTCTCGTTTTCATAAAATTGATTTTCCAAATAGTGAATCGTTCTTCAACACACAGTAGCTTACAGAAACTTCATTCAACACTATTTCCTTACTTATAAAGTAACTAATTAATGTTATAGCCTGGTCGGCTATAATTAATATTATAGCAGGGATAGCCTGGTCGGTAGGGTGCTGGGCTCATGCGTGGGTTCGAACCCCGCCGGCCGAAGACTCCCCGTGTAGTGAAGTGACTGATGTACGTTAAATCTGTCCAGTCGCATAAATCCTTCACGTTCCCATAACAAATCAATTATAATCCCATAACAATACTGCTGGAGGTACTGGATTGGAGATCGATCGTTCTCTGATTCAGGACAAAACTACGATATGTGGATGAATGAATGGATGTATGAATTGGTTCGCCCTATAAAAGGGTATGACGTATGGTGAGGCAGAAGTTGAATTCTTGGCCATAGATGGCGCCACTGGAAAACAAGAACAATCGCACCCCCTCTGCCTAAACAGGCATAAGTCAAAATCAACAACAATTAATATTTGGAAATATTTTTCGCTTCATTTTATTTATTTGAATGTGTTATTTTGAGTCTAAGTATCAAATTTTAAAATTGTAAGAATTTTTCAAATTTTTTATAATTATTTGTTTTTTAAATCTTTTTTAACATCAAGATAATTATGAACAAAAAATTAAAAATACTAACTTTAAATTTGAAATTCATAACTAGGTTCCATAGGACATATTTCAATAAATAAAACGAAACAAAAAATTTTAAACAGCAATTATTTAACTAATAAATTAAGCACTTGCGTTCAAATAATTTTTCCTATAGCATGAAGAAAATAGCACCCCTTTTCTGTTTAAAAAAGGTTCCTTAAGAGTTTAACCTGTCGATTAATATAAAGTTTACTATGGCTTACTAAATGAGAAAAAAATTAATCACGAAACACAAATATGAAAACATTTTACAGCAAAATATCATAACCTGGGGTAATAATAATTATTTTGAGTCACTGATAATGAGACTTTTTAGTTTTGCTTATCATTAACTTAGTGACTTAAAGTAGCCAGAGTCAATAACTAGCCAAAATAGATTTCGATTATTGAACAATATTTCTACAGCTTTTGTTTCGAAATTCTTTTAATAATTGATGCAAAATCTGTTGTTATTTTTAAGAAAAGTGGTATAAATGTAAAAGAGATATGAAAATGTCTACTCAAACAGCTCATACGTTTTCCATGGTGTTCGTAATACGCATAATGATGTTAGAAATGCACATTTAGTTATACGGCTACATTGCATTACGCACAGTAAAATATGCATTTTCAATTATTGAGTTAAAAAAAAAACTTACTGTGAATAATTCAGAAATAAACATCTATTTATTAAAAAAGGTAATATAATTTGTATAAATATGTATATTTTGAATTTTTTCGGTTCTAATGTTTATAAAAACTATTTGGTGCAGTTGTATATTTCTTTTAAAAGTGATATTGAATTGTAGGAAATACCAGAGAATGGAGCCGATATTGCACATCTGCATATGATTCATTCGAAATCAGTTTTTTCTGGACTACAAACTTCGTTCATTGACACCCTTCTAGATCATCTCAAACATAACTGGGAACCTCGTGGATGGGAGCCCGATGAAGAAAGACCTCATGTTGCTAAGGTAAAGCTTATTCAACGAGCGAGCATGTTTGGAGTCAATCTTACCCCTTTCAAGTTAACAATAAACATAGAACAAGTAAGTTAAGCTTATAAATGTACAATATTGATATTGCTCTCTCTTAAGCTAAAAATGTATGTAGAAACAAGTGCATTGTAATGTGCAATACTGATATTATACAAGTGCTGATATATACATGCGTGCATTATACTGATATTCTTTTCGTAGTTTATGTTAAAAATGAATATAAAACAGTGCAGCTTATGTACGCATAATTATGTTTTCTTTTCCAAATCGAAAGTTAGTATTATGAAGCTTTTAAACATATTATTTTGATAATCCTTTTCTTTGTAAGATAAAAACGAAAGTAGAAACAAGTAAAACTTATGCATGCATTATATTGGTATTCTTTTCATTATTTACCTTAAAAATAAACACAGAACAAGTGCAGCTTAGGTATACACAATCTTGATACTTCTTTTCTTTAAAGTTAAAAATATGTATAGGGCGAGTGAATAACTTACGTATGTACAATTTTGATAATATTTTTGATAAGTTCATAAGGAAAACAAAAAAAGTAAAGCTTAAGTTTTCATCTTTTATTTTGCTCTTAAGTCCTTTACTATAAGCTAGATATTCTTTTGTTGATTATCGTTTTAAGATTATTTTAAATTATTTAAGGTTTTGCGTCATAAATGTTGATGCAAAGCTAGAAGAACAGACAGGGAGTGAATATGGATATATTCATCAAAATGTGACATTGAAATATTTTTCAAAACTATTTATAGAGATTATGATAAAGAAATTTGTAAATAAGAAATTTACTGAAAAATCTAACTTCTATTGACTACAAATTGCGTCCCACAGTGGATCGATCGTAAAAACATGATAGCCAATAAAACAGCGAAGTCAAGCATCCCTGGCTGGGGTCAGTAACTGATGGTTGACCACTTTGTTCAGCCTGCGTTGGGACTGAAAGTGCACGGTATCGGTATTCCTTAAACTGCTATACCGTAAAGTGAACGACTTCACGACCAGGTCGTCAGGCTGATAAAACGGAGAAGCTATTTCCTCTGCAGAGTAACAAAATTGTGACGGCATGTTTTTTGGATCATCCTCAGGGATGTTTCCCAGACCACCCCCGATAGCACAGTGTGCAGTTCTAGTACGACGTAAATAAAGTACAATTGACAGTAATATGGAGATTCTTTTTCTGCTTTTATCGGTTGTTGTTGTTGCCGTCTGCCATAAAAGCAGAGGGGGTGCGATTGTCCTGTTTTCCAGTGGCTCCATCTATGGCCAAGTATTCGGTTTCTGACACTCCCATACGTCACCCCCGTTTATAGGGCGGACCTATTAAAGCATCCACAGATCATAATTTTGACCTGGACCATAGAACGATTAATCTCCATTTCAGTACCCCCAGAGGTATAATTTGTCTTGGGAACATGAAGGACTTTTTGACCCGACAGGTTTAATGTGCACCTTTCCTCATTTACTACATGGGGAGTCTTCAGCTGGCTTGGTTCGAACTCCTGTCCTTACCAGAGTGAATTCAGCACACTGCCAACCAGGCTATTCCTGCCAGCTTCTATCGGTAAGGAAAGGATTGAAAATATCTTCATCAAATACAGAACTTCAGTTAAATTTTCGAAATTCTACTTAGTTGAAAAGAGAATGGAATTTTAATTTACAATCATTCTCTTGTGGGGATAACACGGCAAAAACGTTGGAAAATTTATAATCATCAGGTGCACAGTTCCTGCTGAGTTTAAAGCGCTCTGATTAGTCAGAAAGTAGCTGAATTTTTACAGACAGTGAATAGAAACGCTGTATTAATGTGCATAGATTCGGAAAAATTCATTAATAAATAATTATTAAAATTGTATTTTACAAGGAATAAGTTTTGTATGAATGAATTTTATAATTGCACACAAAAAATTTTCGATTCCCTTAAAAAATTCTCGAGAAATACTAAGTACATATCGAAATACTTAAAATATGAAATTCATGAAATTAAGTGGTCTAAACATTCCATCGCTTCCCTTCAAGTTGGTCATGCCCGAATTATTGGAACCGTATTTTCCAAATTGTAGAAAGAACGCAAATCTATCGAAATTAAAACACATATTTGTTCATAGAAAGTACGTTTTTGTGTCTGATTTCGTAGTTCGATATATCGTTTGCGCAAATTAATTAGTATGTTCAAGGTAAGGCCTTCGAAACATTAAGGCTGAATCTTAGTACAGATTAAATCTGATTATTAGATCAAAAGTTATTTAGGTGCGTCCTATTTTTTTTGCTCTGTGCGTTTTGATTCAAGCTTCATAACATACTTGGTAATTACATGAAATCACTGACTCATTTTTCAGATTGGTCCAGCAACCGTTCACTTACATTTGGAATCAAGATACGGTTGTGGTATATTATTACAATGCATAATGACAGAATCTCCACTTAGCCACAGAATTATACATCTTCTGTATACGGAATCAAGCTTCGGACAGTTTCCAGCGGACATGGTGATTTTATCGGAAGCCAGAATGGTATGTTATAATTAACAACTGTAAGTTAGTTTTAATTAACCACTGAACTAGATTATTACTAGGTAAAAGATTATTATGTTTATATACTAAATTATATTTTTAATATTTAAATAGAAGATAAAATATCGTTTTCTTGATTAAGCTGAATTTGGGTTTTATTTTATGAAGTATTTCGACGAATCTAAATTAAATACCAGCTGAGAGACAGGGGCATTATGTTAGAATAAAAGTGAATTTTTCTTGAATAATTACTTTTTTATATGAATTGAATATTTTGATATGAATATAATTTAATAATAATAATAATATATTTTAATAATAATAATATAATTTAATAACAATAATAATATAATTTAATAATAATAATAATAATGATATGAATATATTTTGATATGAATATAATTTTGATATGAATATATGAATATGATAAATTAAATATTACGACGTTTTCTATAGGAATTGAATATTAAGACAATAATATGATTAAGACCATAAACTATTAGAAATGGGCTTGTGTATCGCAAAGCTAATCTTGCCAATTTCGATGTCTTAACTTCATATATTTTATAAACGTCGTTGAACAACCGACCCAATACTGAGTTTACGACTACCAATGTTCAACTCTGAAGTCTTGTAATTTTGAACCCAATCCAGAAGACAACGAAACTTTCGAATCAAGTATTGAGAGAAATTTGCCTTCATAGAAGACTTTTTAATTGAACTAATCCACATTTGTGTTACATGGAGGGAAAAAACCCTTAAACCTCCCATGGTTAGTAAAAAGGCTTTAATAGAAGGCAAGGGGACTCTAACCCATGATCCATCTACTACTGAATATATTTCATTTCAGCACTGTGGTCGATGTGAGCCAGGAGCTGAATTCGTGTCAACCAGCTATTGCTGGGATTCGAACCCGGGTCATCTCATAGGGAGGAAAGTGATCTAATCTCTGATCCATCACGGCTTCTTGGCCTCATTCATATACGAAATTTTGCTTGGAAAATTGGCAACACAGAGAAATGTATAAACAGTTCCCACTCTAATGTTAGAGCATATAAAAAAAATCGACGTGGCGTGGCATAATGGTTCAGCTGGTTCAAACAGTTTACGTGGTACACTACGGTGAAAAAATTTTGCCGTTAAAGATCAGATTACGCTGACGTCATAGGTCACATGTGTGGGTATCGGTTATCTTCTTCTTCTTGAAGTGCAAGTACACAATTGGAATAAGTTTCATGTCTAAGTTAATAATGTAAATAACTGGTTGCCATAAGCAACCATAATATTACAGTACTTTATTGAATGATAATAGTCTAGTGATATAGTTCAGCCTCTGGCTTGAATATCTCTATTTATCCGTTAACTGGGGAAGGGGGGAGCAGACGATAATCCCAAAGCAAAAAGGTTGTCAAATTTTTTAAGAATTACGAGGATGGACGGCTACAACTGAACTAGAGTTTGTTTTCTTGAACAAGTAGATTGTAGAAGCATCAATGACTGATTGCTGAGGCATTGATGACGAAACTTGACGATTTTCGCCAAGTTTCATTTGATATTTAACTAACGAATAAGTACCAAAAGGGTATCTCATCCACTTGTCCAATCTCGGTATAAGTTTAATTATTTTAAATTATTTTCCAATCGTTTTGATTAAATCAAATTAAAAAAACAAAATCAGAGAATACAGAACAGTGTAGCTCTTATATGCATAATTTTGTTTTTCTCTTCCAAATTGAAAGTGAATATTGTCAAGCATTTAAGCATACTATCTTATATTTCTTTTCTTTGTAGGATAAAGACGTAAGTAGGAACAAATAAAGGTTTTGCATGCATTATATTGATATTCTTTTCATTATTTAAGTTAAAAATGAACACAGAACAAGTGCAGCGTATACACAATCTTGATATTTCCTTTCCTTAAAGTTAAAAAATATGCTTAGGACAAGATTACGTGTGTACAATGAATAGCTTACGCGTGTACAATTTTGATAATATTTTGGATAAGTTCAAAACGAAAATTAAAAAAAGTGCAGCTTAAGTTGTCATCTTTCATTTAGTTTTTAAGTTCATTTAGTTTAAGTCCTTTACTATACGCTAGGTATTCTTTTGTTGATTACCTTTTTAATGTAGGCTTAATCAGGCAAATTTCTGCGAATTTTTTTTTGTGACGATTATTTTAAATTATTTAAGGTTTTGCGTCATTAATGTTGATGCAAAGCTAGAACAGCAGTTGGTAAGTGAATATGAATATGTTCATCAAAATGTGCCACTGAAAAATTTGTAAAAACTATTTATAGAGATTATGATAAAGAAATTTGTAAATAAGAAACTTACTTACAAATTTAACTTAGTAAACTTCTATTGACTACAAATCGGGTCCCACAGTGGATTGATCGTAATGACATGGTAGTCAGTAAAAAACAGTGAGGTCAAGCATCCCTGGTTGGGGTCAGTAAGCGGATGGTTGACCACTTTGCTCAGNTAAACCATTCATTTGGTAACTGGGGGGGGGGGGAGCAGACGATAATCCCAAAGCAAAAAGGTTGTCAAATTTTTAAAGAATTACGAGGATGGACGGCTACAACTAAACTAGAGTTTGTTTTCTTGAACCTGTAGATTTAGAAGCATCAATGACTGATTGCTGAGGCATTGATGACGAAACTTGACGATTTTCGCCAAGTTTCATTTGATATTTAACTAACGAATAAGTACCAAAAGGGAATCTCATCCACTTGTCCAATCTCGGTATAGGTCTAATTATTTTAAATTATTTTCTAACCGTTTTGATTAAATCCAAATTAAAAAAACAAAATCAGATCATCCTTAATCGGATCCTAGAAACATTTCATTCAAATTCGGAATTGGATTCCTTTTTCGAATCTTTTTGGAATGTCATGATGGAGCTGTTTCTACAAGCTTCCTCTACATATTACATCAAACTGAAAAGAAAAATTAAACTTTATATACCTCTTATATATCTATTTAAAAAAAAACTTTAAATCTCAATCAAGACATCTTTCAAAGATTAAAATTAAAAATGGGCTTGAAATAAAATTTTTTAGTCTGTTGTGCCATATTTTGGATATCAGTTACTTTATGCGTATGTTGATGTAATATCTCATTTTTTGTCCCATTAATTTTATAGCTCGATAGAGATATTGCTGTCTGGAACAACAAGCGTTTTCTTCGGAGGCCCGTTCTTGTTAGGGAAGACAAATTGATTACTCGTTTTAGAAGATGGTACTCACAGTTTTACTCGGAACATAGTCCGACTCTCAAGGAAATTAGAGAGAATACGCTGGAATGGTGATAAATTGTTTGATTTGTGTTACTTATTTAAACACGCCATGTATGAAAATATTCCTTTACAAAATGTGTCATTTTTTATTTTATTAATAAATGTTTTAGTTTTGAATGCATTTATTCTAGTCCTTTTCTTTTTCAAGATAAGGGAACTTTCTTTATTTTACCCCTTAAATATTGATTATATATCTTTTAACCATGTGATTTTTATTTGTGCAATATTTTACATGCATAATATACCTTTCAAATAAGATGTTTAAATTTTTTTTTAATAATTAGAGTGACTCGACGTAAGATATGTATATTGGTTAAGTGGGCTCACAATTTTTATTTTACATATAAGATGGCATAAGTGTAAAGGAGTGAAGATAAGTTATTATGATAAGTTATTATGATAAGTTATTATGATAAGTTATTATGATGAGTTATTATGATAAGTTATTATGATAAATTATTATGATAGGTTATTAAGATAAGTTATTAATTTCAGTGGTTAATTTAGGTAGCATCATTAAAGTATTAAGTTTGTTTTTTAGCCGTGTGAGATACCCTTTAATTTGAATGTCAAGTAGGGATATTTATCTCAGAGAAATAAATAAAATTGTTTTAGGTAGAATTAATTAGTAAATATTAAGTTGAATATGGCCATATTCAAAAATATAAAAATAATGAAAAGAAGTCCCTTATAGGGATCAAGATAATCATTTTCTTAGCATCGAGAATTTCTGTTAAGATTATTATAACGGTTGGGACTGAGAGTCCCAAAAGGGCCACAATCCTATTGCCAATAATTAGAAATTGAAAGTGAATGAATTGTTTCCAACGGACAGCTAGGAGCATGGGAAGGGATCCATGGTTGGTGATTTATCGAAGGATAACACTGCCAAAAATGAAGCCAACCTCCCATAAACATTATTAAATTTGAAAATAATTTGGCGAAAGTGAATCGCCAAAAAGACTGTGGGAATTAGTATAACCATGTAAGTGACACATTTTTGTAGTAAGAAATAAAGAATAAAGAGTTATAAATCGATTTTTGTTTTCGATTTAGTCCGGACAGTGAATTAATGAGTCTTACATTAGTATTGAAGTAAAAAGTTAGCCGTTACATTGATCGTTAAGAAAAGAATAGAATATTTTATATTAGCTTTTTTTTCAAAATTGTAATAAAAAATTAAATGATTGTTTAATTTAATTAAAATTCAGTTTAGATAGATTAAACAAATAAGTTTAAGAAATTAAAGAAAGTTTAAAAGCTAGGAAATATATGTAATGACTATTGTGGCATCACAGTTACACACGTTTGTACTAACGTAAAACAGTAGTAAGACAAACTAATAAACCGCTCTAGGAAAAGACTGCGAAAAAAATAGGCTCGTTTAATTTTAATTAAATTTTAATGATGATAGATAAGGTATTAACAATAGTGTAATTCAATTTTTGAAGTGTTATGCGTGGCATAAGTCAGATGACTGTCAACGGCAAATTTTACATACTTGTCAGCAATCATGAATATGTAGATAGGTTTTTATAACGCCACTCACTCAGGGTCGGATTAAAGTGTCATGAGACCTGCGGCCCATGGGTAAAATGGAAGTCTAGTTACCATTAATTTTTTTTATTACTTTTCAAAATTAAAATAACAATAAGTTAATAAGGATAATAATCAGTTAATGTTAAGTAAGTAACGAAGCATTGTTAATATGAGCATTTATTTATTAACTTAACTTAAAGTGTAAAACATAAAGTGTTAAAAANCTGCACGCGAAGTCGAACACTTTACGATAGAACAGTTTAACGAGGACCAATACCGCACCCTCTCGGTCCCTACGCAGACTGCTTGACTTCGGTGGTCTGCTGGGAACCGTGTCTTAACGATCAGTCCACTGTGGGACAAGTAACGAAGCATTGTTAATATGACCATTTATTTATTAACTAAACTTAAAATATGAAACGTAAAGTGTTAAAAACTTGACAGTCCATGCGTGCACAACATAATACATAAAAATAATGCATTTTAATGTACTTACTATTCTAATTTTTAAATTTACAAAATGAAATAAACGTTGTTAGAGTAATTAAAAAAGAGGAATGGAGTTGAAGTATTATGCTGACCACATTACCACAATCATACTGTTGGTTTCGAAATTGTGAAACTTTAATCTCCATGACACTCCTGGCTCAAAATGGACTGTTGCAAGAATATTTTACTACATTGTTACTATATTGTAGCATTACTGTATTGTAGCATTGTACTTAAACATGTGCTTCCCTTGAACTCTACAATCTTGAAACATTTGTTACTACTAATTTACCTGCAATAATACAGGCGTTTAAACTGACATTACTTCACTTAAATGTCCACGGGAAATCCATTATTGATCACTCAGTTTCAGATTGTAACCAATAGGAATAGGTTTCTATTTGGATGAAAATACAAATCGTCCAATAGGAATAATGCAAGTAACTAGTTGCCCTTCACAGTCACAAAATTTCGAAAAATTGATCGATTTATTCGATTCAAGTGATATATTAGGAGGACCGGAAAGTAACGTCGTTTTTGCTCATTCGTTAGTCTTAAAAACCAATTCTTTTTTTTCGATTCATTTTCGATCCGGCATTGAAAGGTTGTTGTTAACGAGGGTGAATACATTATTGATTAAAAACAAAATCTTGATAACAAATATTAAATGCACCGAAGCGACATTACTTTCCGGTCCCCCTAATAGTTCTGACTCTAGACTGGACATCTCAATAAACGTAAGAGATAGTGTGCGAGTCTGAGTCTGTCTCTCTTTTATAATTCCAGAACCGGTTGCACGAAGGTTTTGAAATTCGGACATTAGTTTCAAGGAGTAATTTTTGCTCCCGATTTAAAAATTTGTTTAAAAACTTCAATTAAATTGCTTAGAATGAATTTTTGAAAACTAAATTTTTCTCAAAAATTTGATATTAGACATTGTTAAAAGGTATATTTTAAATTATTTTTTTTCCGAATCTTTAAAAGATAACATCTATTTTGTTTGTAAACTCATTACAGTATGTAATAAAAAATATGATACATATTCACGTTATTTAATATTCAATATTTCTTTATTCATTACGCTATTTAAGCTTAAGGGTCAAAGCGGATGGATTACACATGAGGGCTACGTCCCCGAATTAGTATTCCTGAAGTTTTCATAACTGCATGTTTATTTAGGTTGTACATACACTTTTAAAACAAGTTTCTTTACAGTGTTTCTTTTACTTTTTAAATGCGTTTTTTTTTAATTTCATATTACATAATATGAACCGAATGGTAATTGAAATTAAAAAGAAAATTATGCCTGTTGGTCTTAGGGAAAATGTGATAGTTTGGTTCGAAATTTTTCCACACTGTTGTTATTGAACATATTGGTAGGATTAATATAATAATCCACTCTTATTTATGAATTATATTCGAAGTCAATGCTTTCTTTTTTAAAGTGGAGCATCAAACGTTTGAAATTAGTTTATAAGTACATAAACTTATGTAATTCTTAAATATAATGAGAAAATAATTGCATTATTATTAAATGCATTATTATATGCTTTTTTTTATTTTTGTTTACTTTACACTTTGTGTTGCGCAAAAAATATTTATTTTTCATTATTTAATGTACGACGTTAATTTTTATTATTTGGATTTTATTCAGTATCTTAAAGTGATAAAAATCTTATGTTCAAAGTTATAAAACAAAAGTTTATCTATAAATCCAATTTGAACACCTGTTCTTTGGACAGTTGCAAAATTGTTAATTAATTTTATAGATAGTAGTAAAAAATCTTCTGTTATGTTTTTAGTAAACAAAGATTAAAAATTCTGGTTAAATCCGCATACTGTATGATGACATTTCATTTAAAAATACCAATATTCTATTAATGAGAACCAAAACGGTATTTAAACCATTCATTTGGTAATTTTTCCGTTTATTATAATTAAACCGAATAAATCTTTTTTATGTCATGCTCTAAGATATTATGATAAAATTGCCAAATTTTAAAACACTAATCAAATTTTATCACATAATACAAAGCTACACTTTATTGTTAATTTTTACCAAAGCCATTACCAAAAGGCGTCGGTAAAAATCACTGAGCTTTCTAGTGTTTCCATGGAGTCAGAAACACGATATATTTTGCTATATTCTGACAGTTTGGACCATTTTTTTTTCTCAGAGCAGTTGTATTCAATAGTTCCTACGTTTTCCCTAGTTTATTTTGGTTAGAATGAGTTACTTACTGTGTTTTTTGAAGTGATGAACTTAAAATGATTAAGCATTTCTTTAACCAAAAGGCTACTATATAATCTTAAGGTACAGGCTGAATTTTACATTTAACTTATTATTATCGCAAAATTGAAGTTTCAAAAATATTTTAACTTATTTTAAAAATAAATAGGTGAATAAATACTTTTGTTATGTTCTTAGTAAATAAGTTGTATTGAATCGTAAAAATATGTAAATTGTATTATTGTGTAACTCTTTTTTCTCCATTTTTTTTCCTTCCAGAATTAGTTACCCAGCGTGTTATAAAATGATCTACTTAATTTGGTTCAATATTTTTTAACCCAAAAGATTAGTCTTCATACTTTTCTGCACCCTGAAAAACTTTTATTTTATTGATAGGACTTTAACGAACTTAGTGCCAATCTTAATGATTAAAAAAAGTGATCACAATCATGCGAATTAATGGTAACTATTACATAAGTTGCAAATCAGATACAAAAAGTTCCATCTCTCTATAAGCATATCTTTTTTCGGTGGATTAGAATTCTTGACTATCAAAGTAAAAGTTTAGCCAAAATTACGCGCAAAAGTTTGGGCTCATAATGTTATAGTCAATTTTTACATATTTCGCCATTTCCATGGAAGTTTATAAGCTAACCAAAATATTTTTGAACGAAGTTATAAAATTCATTCATCCACAGGTAGTTCAGTAAAATTAAAAACGTTACATTTACCCAGCGTGTTATAAAATGATCTACTTAATTTGGTTCNTAATAACATAAATGGTTAGATAGACTCAAAAAGTTTCATGACTCTTGTCCATGAACTTCCACGTGAGCCCCCTTCGCCGCACGGAGAATATCAAATCGATAGTCAATTTCACGCCAGGTAGCGGCAATCATGTCGGCACCCACAGAGGTTATTGGGGTTGTAATTCTGGCTTTTAGGTCATCAATGTTCGACACGATCCTCCTGAAAACATTGCCCTTTGCAAATCCCCAAAGAAAGAAGTCCAGTGGCGTTATATCAGGTGATTTGGGTAGCCAAGGAATTGGACCTCCTCGCCAACCCATCTTCTTGGAAAATGGTCATTCGTAGTTCTTTGAATGACCATTTTCTAATCTATCTAACCATTTATGTTATTAATTTTAATCTATCTGTATTATTTTATGAGTTATTAAACATCAAAATGGCTCCGGGACTTTATAAACATCCTGTATAATCTTAAGGTACGGATTTAATTTTACATTTAACTGATTATTATTGTAATATTGAAGTCGAAAAAATATTTTTACTTATTTTAGAAATAAATGGGTGAATAAATACTTTTGTTATGTTCTTAGTAAATAAGTTGTATTCAATCGTAAAAATATGTAAATTGTATTACTGTGTAACTCTTTTTTCTCCATTTTCTTTCCTTCCAGAATTAGTTACCCAGCGTGCTTTAAAATGATCTACTTAATTTGGTTCAATATTTTTTAACCCAAAAGATTAGTCTTCATACTTTTCCGCACCCTGAAAAACTTTTATTTTAATGATAGGACTTTAACGAACTAAGTGCCAATCTTAATAATTAAAAAAAGTGATCACAATTATGCTAATTAATAGTAACTATTACATAAGTTGCAAATCAGATGCAAAAAGTTCCATCTCTCTATAAACATATCTTTTTTCGGTGGATTAAAATTCTTGACTATCAAAGTAGAAGTTTAGCCAAAATTACGCGCAAAAGTTTGAGCTCATAATGTTATTGTCAATTTTTGCATATTTCGCCATTTCCATGGAAGTTTATATGCTAATCAAAGAATTTTTGAACGAAGTTATAAAATGCATTCATCCACAGGTAGTTCAGTAAAATTAAAAACGCTAAATTAGTATTAAAAGCACTAAAGAGAAAATTATCACTTTTTGATCACTGACAAATTAGGACCATATTTTCAGAGTTCAGTGAACCTCCATATTTTTATGGTCAAAAATATGAATCAGGTATAAAATATACGTATATTCTGAGTTCGTATTGTGTGTGAAAGAAAATCCTTACGAGGATATTAAAATTCCAATAAAATTTTAAGAACTAGTATTTGGGAGTGCGATAGTGCGTTAAAAGAGCACACAAAATTCGACTGAGGGTAGAAGAGGATTCCAAAAAGACTTAGAACTAGGATTTGGGGGTAGTACAGGGTGTCAACAAATACATAAAATCCTAATAAGAATAAAGGGAAATTCCAAATTGACTATAAGAGTAAGAATGTGTTAAAATTTAACGTAAAATCATATTGGGGATTGATGGAATTCCAAAGAGACTATGATAACTAAGATTCGAGGGTTAGTAGGGCGCAAAAAGAATACACATAACATATATAACTAATGGGATAAAAGAATACACAAAATCATAAGGAGAACAGAGAGGGATCCCAACGAGACAATAACAATTCAGATTCGAAAGGTAAGATAGTGTGCTAAAACTGCACGCAAAATCATATTGAGGACAGATGGAATTCCAATGAGACTATAAGAACTATTATTCGAGGATTAGAAGTGTGTTGAAAGAACACACAGATCTCGTATAACACGTGTAACCAATGTGTTAGAAGAACACACGAAATCATTAAGTGGATAGAGGGGGATCCCAAAAAGAAAAAAGAACTAGGATTCGAGAGGTAGGATAGTGCGTTAAAATTGTATGCAAAATCAAATTGACGATAGAGGGAATTCCAAAGAGAATATAGGGAGTAGGATTCGAGGGTTAGTAGTATGTTAAAGGAACACATATAACTAGTATAACACGTATAAACAATGTGTTAGAAGAACACACGAAATCATAAAGTGGATAGAGAGGGATCCCAAGAAGAAAAAAGAACTAGGATTCGAGTGGTAGGATAGTGCGTTAAAATTGTATGCAGAATCATATTGTAGATAGAGGGAATTCCAAAGAGAATATAGGGACTAGGATTCGAGGATTAGTAGAGTGTTAAAAGAACACACTTAACTGGTATAACACATATAACCAATATGTTAGAAGAACGCACGAAATTATAAAGTGGAGAGAGGAAGATTCTAAAGAGGGGATAAGAATTAAGAATCTGTTGGTCACTCTCCATGATAGAAAAAAAAAGAGTCCAATCCAGTGGTTCCCAAACTTTTTTAACTCATGGACCCCTTTTTATAGTCAAAACTTGCCCACGGTCCCCCAAGTGAAAAACTGCATATATGTACGGTATAAAAATTACAAATTGAAAAAAAGGAAAGAAACATTTTGTTGAAGAACTATTTATTGAAATTATATCTTTGTTTAAAATAAAATAAAAAAATTAATGACTTGGATGAACGTGATGAGATTTTAAGAGTGTATTTATGTCAGGCTCAATGTTTGTGAGTACTAATTTCTACTCATTTATTTATTTATTTATTTTTGCGATGAGGTTCATTACGGCACTGAAACTGAGAGAGCAACGTCCTCTTCCCAAGTTTTATTTATACAGAAAAAGTTTTGCAACATTGGCAGTTTTACGATTTTAGTTTTGATTAAATTTAATTGTTCATTTTGTAGTTTCAAATTAGTTTCGTTCAGTTTGGCAAATGTACTGAAAATACATTCGCTGCCTGCAGCTTGTTTTAAGTTAGCCAGAAAACCTCGATATCTTCCTACCATTTGCCGGAGCACCGTCAGTAGCTACAGAAATGATATTAGTTAAGGGCATTACTTTTAATTCAGTCAATAGCTTTTCACCTTTCGTATCGCTTTCCAAACATTTAGCAAATAACAATTCTTGGTCAAATTTTTATTCTTTTACAAATCTTACGTAAGCTAAAAGTAAAAGCTTCGTTTCCTAGATAAGTGAACTCGTCAAGCTGTATAGAAAATTCAGATATTTTTAAGTACTCACACAAAGAATTTTCTACGCACTGAGATATTTTGTCAATCCTTCTTTTTACATTATTATTACTTCGTGGAATTCTTTCTACAATGTTAAAAGCTGGTTTGTGCAGCCCGGTGAGTATTATCTCATTTACAGCTTGTAAAATAAGTTCTTCAATAGTGTAAGGCTTTCCGGACTTAGCAATCATGTAATATGTAGAAACATGCGAAACTATGAGAAACATGCAATCCATCGTCACCTTGCTTAGATGTTGTCCCTATAAGTTGTTGCAGTGACGGTGTTTTCAAATATTTTTCTTTGACTGTTTGAAAAATAGTTAAATCTTTATCTTTTTTGTCACTATGCTTGAATGTAGCTTGGAATGTGGCGTTTTTTCTTCGACTCATTCATACCGTTATCTCTTAAAAAGGGAACAAAAGATATAAGAAAATTTGTAAATCAACTGCTTAATTTGTAACAAACTACTGTTAATAATTATAAGCACCCACCTTTATTTATAGTTTACTTAGGACGTAAACATCGCTACTATCTTATTTATTTTAATTTCCATAATAATAAACACCATTCGCAATTTTATTATTTTATATTATACCTCATGTGGACCCCCTGACGTTGTTCAGGGACCCCTAAATCAGTTTTTATTTCTCACGGACCCCCTGATTGGTACCACAGATCCATGGGGGTCCATTTGGACCACTTTGGGAAACACTGGTCTAATCTGAGCCTCTAAAAAGAAAGTCTGAAATAATCCAATCAAGTTTTGCGTGATTTATGGATAGTCCCTAACTTACACGAGTTTGAAGGTGTGAGCAACAACTTAATAATGTTTACCATAAATTTTTTATTACTGTTTGCAAGCTATAGAAGGGCGTAAAAAAACCATTGTAAAAAAGTTTACTTCAAATATTTTTTTCCCTAAAACGTGCTTCTTTATTTTAAACACATATGAACAGTTATTATGTTTTATGAAGTCTAACATTAATAAAGCAATTTTTTATTTTTTATTTTAAGTAATAGCAAGAAATGAGTATCAAACTAATCAATTTGTTGTTTCGTCAGATAATTGCGAATTGTTTGTCTTGTACAATTCGTTTTACCGTAATAAATTTTTATGTAGTTACACACGTTTGATAAGAGTATAAATAGAAAATTGATACCGAATTTCTATTACCTAACAGTTTACTGAGCCTTAAAAATGTCTCCTTCAATTTTTACAGTTTTTTCCGCCATTCTTTTGTTATCTTTCGTAACAGGTAAATTATAGTCTCAGTTATTATCCTTAGAATTATGCGTCCAAAATACTATGTAGATCTCAAAACTCGTTGGAAAAAGTCTTGTAGTTATCCACTCTAACACAAATGGATTTTAACTTGAAAAATTAATTTGAAATTTTTTTAACCTAAATGGTAATTTAAAACTTCAGACGAAAAATATTATCAAGGTAACGACCAAATTACCCCCAAAATCTTCCTCAGCACTTTCTTTAAATTTAAAAGTTCATAGTACATGATACAATGTAAAAATTTCTGAAAAATTACTGTTAAAAGCCCAAACCCTCAGGATAAAATACCATGAAATCCATTTTTACTGTAAAATTTTACAGAGAAAAAAATGTGATTGACCGTAATTTTTACAACAATATTCACTGAATCACTGTAATTCAATAAGTATTACTCTAAAAAAATATGGTATAAAATTGTACATTGGTACATTTTACTGTGATTTTTCAGGATTTTTCTTACAGTGTAATCTTACAACTTATTGTAAAGAAGTTTTTTAATTATTTCAAAAGGGTTTATTAATTCAGTAGACAACCGTGTGTATTAAACTGATTAGAGCTATAATTTACTCACTTCTAGGGAGAATATATGAGTTATATCTTATTTAGGAATGTTTCATTCCTTTAACATCCCAATTATCAATAAATCTTTAAGAAATATCTCCAGTATTGTAGTACGTTACGCGTGAATCATCTTATACAATCATATAAGTTATGTTCTTCAAAAAATACAACTTGGATATAATTTTAACAATATTTTTTAAGCCTTTTTATTTTAATGTTCTAATTTTTTTAAAACTTTTGTTCCATTTTACTTAACATCATCCTTAATATTTCATATATATTTTTACATTTTTGTGCAAAAACAATAAAATCTCCTTCGTGTCATTATATATATGTGTCATTATATAATATTATATGTATATATATATATTAAAAATAATCAAATAATATGTAATTTATTAAGGAAGATATTATTTATTTAACGTGAAAGAAAAGATTTGTAACTTATCTTAAAAGTATTACAGAAAATGTGCACTTTAGTTAAAACTATTCTTTATAAACATAGTATCAAATACGTAATAATTTAANATATATATATATTTATTTATTAATAGTGATTCTCCAGTTCGGAATCATACAAACTAGTTATAAACCAAACAAAATTCATACTCCGCGATTTCACTTCTTTTTCCTTTTTTGTTTATCAAATAAATTTCTATGATTATAGCCATGCGGAAAAATTTAATTCCACCTTTCTGCCAGAGTTTTAAATAGCTGAAAAAAATATTTTGAACTAAAAAATATTAACTCCAATTGGTTTTATTATTAAATTTATTAAAATGTAGCATTCTCCTTGTTTTAGCTGCACCTGTTCCAGGTTCAAGTAAGTATTCATTTTAAAATTCCTACTTTCTTTTCTTAGATTTTCATCTTCAACAATCTTAGTTTTCGAAGTGTATCATTTATAAAAGCATAATGAGGTTTTCATATTTTCAGATTTCTAATTTTAGTTCCATTATACATTTTTTTGTGCAGAAGAACTTTGATTATCCGCTGTCCGTTTACCTGACCCTTTGGTTATCCGAGACCATTATTATAGTGATGTTGCCAATTACTTCTCCATTTTGAACCTTTTACCAATAAACGCTATATTCAATTCAATTTATTGCACACTGAGAAAAAATTGGTAATGATAACACGGTGATGACATTTCTTTTTTAAAGAAGTCATGATTCTGGTTAATTATAGATACCGTACTTAAACGATTAATTTGGTGCTTTTCCCGTTCATATGATGACGATTTATCGAAAATTCTGGTTATCGAAATTATAATTCGTAATACCACACATTTAGTAAAATAAACAAAAATGAAACGAAAATTTAACCGAATAAATTATTTATATGTCATTCTTAAAGGCATCATGGTAAAATCACCAAATTTTACCACATATATCTAATTTCATGAAACCACATTTTATTGCTAATTTTATCAAAGTTCATTATCAAAGTACTTCGATAAAAATTACCGAGCTTTTTAATGTCCCCAGCGAAACCGGAAATTTTATCACATTTTGGCAGCTTTGACCAGATTTTTTTTTTCTCAGTCTTATTACTGCCGTAACGAAGATTCCAAAATTCGACAACTAGAGAACTTTAATTACTTGGAGTAATTTTGCTTACAGTCTTAGGTTTGATTTTGAGAGGTAAAAAATAAACTCGGAAACGTCCCCTGTGTATGAAACGATTTCCATTTTCCGACTGAACTCTGATATCGGGGATCTCGGCTCTTAAATTTACGACACTAGGACTGAAATTTAAGTTTATTGACCTGTAAAGAAAACGACAAGTTATTTGGCATTTTGCAACGGAAATAATTGAGCCTTTTTTATTTATTAAATCTTTATAAATTGGTGGATATGGTTTATAAGACTCATATTACTTCAGTTCAATGTAAGGATAATTTAAATAAAAAACTGAAATTCTATTTATTTGCTTTGCAAAGTAAGCTCTCAGTGTGTGTGTCAACACTGATAACTTTCTGATTAAAGTCGCATAATAATATTCTAATCCGAAGTTTTTATATATTAGTAAAATTGAATTTATTATAAGACTATCTTTCTTATTAATTAAAGTTTAAGCATATTACATGTAATCTAGTTCGAACCACTTGGGTTTTTGAGTTTAATAATATGTACCATTTTGTATTATTGCTTATAGTACCTCATAATTGCGCTTAGTGCTGTTTAAAATGGTGGGAAATGAATGTTTTTTTTTTCAAATGATATGCAAAACAAAACAAAAATTTAATGATTTTAAAACAGTGTAAGGGAGATATGAAAAATAGAAATAAAATTTGATACAAAGACAAAAAAACTATTTATAGATACTATTGATGAAAATAAAAAAATATTTAAAACCTATAAATAAAATCATACAAATAGTATGTAAATAAATAAAAAAAATCAAATATGTGCAAAAATAGCCTAAACTGCATAACTCATTGGGTTATAAATTGATAAAAAATTTCGAGGTAGACAGTATATTGAAAAGCCGCAGAACAATAGTCCGTGTTTATATATTTCTAGGAAAAGTTAAATTTGTTTACCATCCCATATTCTCCGGCAATTAGTTGACGGAACGATCACAACAACGCCACTTAACCGAAACAAAAACTTTCACAGCCGACACGATCACTTCGCTGACATGACCAGTTCAATATTAATTTAAATTTTCTCCCCAATTTTCTTTATTAGTTTTTTCTCTGAGAATTTCTTTTCAATATTTAATTTGTTTACATCGAAAAATGGTTCTTTAATATGGTTACTTCTTGTCAACTTCGTGAACAACATTTCGAAAGAAAAACGTTTTGTTGTTGTTGTTTTTTTAAAAAATAAATACGTTTGATTTTGTGTTTTAAAAACCTCAAAGGCGATATTCGAAAGAAAAAAAACAGATTCAGAAATTATTAGTGATGAAAAAGGAATAAATATTTTCATAATTATAATTGCTTCATTGACTACTTCTATTACATATCATATGCTAATATTGATTCCATGGTATACATTCAAATAAATTACTACTTTAAATTAAATTAATTGCTTAAAGTTTATGCAAATGTAACGTTTCAAATTTTTCATGCGTTTCAGACATCGGTAAGTTTTAGTATTTATTTTAAATTGATAAATTTTTATATTTGCTAATATTTAACTAAAAACGTATATAATATTGTAGTTAGTTTTAATTCAAACATCTAAACTTTAAATGGTTATATTTTTATATTCTGGATTCATACTTTTAATGGATGTTAATACGTGGATGAGTAAATTCACGATTTTTTTAAGTATGCTCTGCAAACAAATAAGTAAAATAAAATAAAATAAAATAAAATAAAATAAAATAAAATAAAATAAAATAAATTAAAAGTTATTTATTATTTTATTTTCCTAAAGCAAAAGTTTTCGTAAAGCTTAAAATTTACAAGATATATTAATTCTCTTAATTCGTATGGATAATTTAAAAAAAATTATCTTAGTAAGTTTTAGAATTGACAAATACTTTTTTAAATAGGTTATATTATAAATCTTGTTATTTACTTTCAAACATCATATTTAATATGGTTAGTTTACTATTTTATGTGGAGATAATGATAGTGTATGCGTGGATGGTTTAATTCTTTACTTTTTTTCGAAGCAAATTTGACAAATAAAGAAAGCATAACAATGAATAGGCGAGCAAAAAAAAATAATATTATAGTACGTTTAAATAATTAAATATAGCAATGAAAATGTAATAATTTTCGTAATTTAATGTGAAAAGCAAATTATATTTCCGAAGTAATATTACGAAATAAAGCGAATTAATTAAAAAATAACACGAAAACATTAAGAAAAAAACATAATTTTTGTTATTCGGTATATTTAGTCCACCTTTGCAATACGGGCAAAATGGGGCAGGGTTTTTCGAAAGACGTAACATTAAAGAAGACAACAACAAAAAGTTTAGCTAATTACCTCGTGGAGCCTTTTGGAACTAAGTTTCGAAAGTCATTCAAACATTGTAAAATGTCAAATGATAAGATATAAACTATAAGTTTGTCAAGAGTATAATAAGTTTGTCAAGAGCTAATCTAATAAATTGAAAAATTGTACGATAATTTCAGACTAACTACACTGATAAAAATGTAACAGTAAGGTGAAATTCCTATATATATTTCTGAAATGAAAATTTAAAAGTTATATTTAAAAAAAATATTAAATATTTTTCATTAAATTGTACTCTCGCCGGTTCAAAAAGTAAATTATAATGTTTGGAATGATCATGAATACTTCATTTGGGCTATATTAAAACTGCCTACGCATATTTTATTTGAAAATTTAATTTTTGACTTTTGGTCTAAGATCATGGTCTTCTGGCCCACAGTGGTATGGTGTAATTTCTTATGTTTATGTGTTATTAATATCTTAAGATATGTTTCAGATGGTCTTGTTAATAAAGGTAAAATAATGATATTTTATTAATGATATTCTCTAAATTAACTTCTAAATAATAATAATTTCATAATGAAATTGACTTTATTATGTTAGATAAAAACCATAGTAATAATTGCGATATAATATAGAAGTCTTATTAAGGTAAAAATCCCAAGGTTAAATTAGATAAAAAAGAAATTTTTTTTGTGTATTTTCATTCTGAATGTAAAATGAAATTAATTTTTAAACAACATCAAAATCATCTCGGTATTCCATGTTTAAAATTATTTATATATAATTGTACTCAAAAGGAAAGTACACCACGGGTAATGCAGATGAGTGTTAAAGATAAAAAAAAATTAAGTGAATATTTTTCGGTGTATTTCAAACTAGTTCGGGCTATAGATAGTAGCAGTAACTTGAAAAATATGGTCCCAATAGTTTAGGCAGAAGGGCGATAGAAAATTTCTGTCCCTTAATGTTAATTTCACTTTTTTCCTACATCTTTCCCCTTGAAAACTAATGAAGCGAAACAAAATATTTTATTTTTTAATTTATCCTCTGTATATAAAATGCATGTTTGTGGTTTGCGAATGACATTTATTGTACTTTCCGACATTGTCTTAGCTATAAATGTTTAGGATCGGGGAGGGGTTGACTCGAGCTCATGATGAAATTATTTTTCCGCCTTTTTAAAAATAAATTAAAATTTCATTCTGCCATCAAACTTAACAAATGTTTAAAAACTCGTTTTCGTTCATTGATTAAATATAAAAAAATTAGTAAAAATTTTAGAATATTATATATTTTGGTTAATAAATAAATAACTTCAATGATGTATTTCATTTGGTTTTTCTCTCCGAATATTTTGATTTTATATCTTTGAGAGTTTTAGCTTTAATCTGACTTCTCAAATTTAAAAATCGGGTGTGCTCCGGTTAAAAAAATCGTATCGATTTCAGGATTCAGTTTAAATTCATCGGGCACGGGTTTCTAATTATATATAATCTCACATCTCATATATATTCCCTAATGGATATACATTGCAAACATTCTAATCTTGCGATGCGTTTAAAGTTTGTTGAAAAATACATGAAAGTAGTCGAAGCATAATTTGTAAAATTTTTTTAAAGAATCATTCTTAGTGTTATAGGAAATTAATTAGTCCTCCTATTTTTCAGCTCTAAAAATAGCTGACAGTAAGTATACACAGCATTTAGAAATGTTTATATCTTTAATGTGTTTCATTGTTTACTAACATTCCATCATTATTATTCAATAAGACCCACTCATAATGATGCCATATTTCTCGAGATTCTAAATTTTAATAATGGAAATTTAGTCTTTTTATCATGCAATTTTATAAATGTATTAGAGTATATTCTTTTGGTGAGTAATTTTTTTCCCGTTTGATCGGATTTAAAGTAATTTGAGAATCGCGAAATAACGCCAAAAATAAGAAAAAACTTTTTTTTAAAAATAAAAAATACACATTTTGGCATCCATTTTTTTACAATTTTTTAAAAATGTTAAAATTTTTTAAGCATTTTAAAATTAAATTTTTTAAAAAAATGTCATGATTATTGCAAACCAAGTTTAGGCGTCATTCGGAAATAGATGAAGCATTCTTTAAAGCTATTGAACAACAAATGCAACCTTTATATGAAGAGGTGCATGCCAGCGATTAACCATCCGATTATCCAGCGATTAACGAACTCATTATCCTCTCCTTAGCAACTATCCATCCAGAATTAACCTTCCATAGATTAACGATTTAGTATCCTATTGGCGCATTTCCAGAGATAAAGGAAGATAGTTACAGTCGCTGGAATAAGATATTATCCGCAGCTTCAAATGCCATTAGAAACTATTGATTCTCATAGTGTTAAAATGAAAGAAAGATGATGGCTTTGAAGCTGAAGACTCCAGATAATATATGTTTTAGGAAGTGTGCCCCAACCAGCATTGAAAAATGTCTTACTTAAAAGCTGGGTTGATTTCAAAAACCAAAGTTAACTTGACAGAGGACTTGCTACTCGCAATCTGATCGAAACACAAAACTTTGAGTAGTTTATCGATATTAAATACTCATTTCTATCTGTAACAAAAGAATGTCAGAACTTCAAGAACACGGTATTATTAGCAGCTTCAAAATGACAATATTAAAACTATTGATTTCAATAGTGTTAAAATGGAAGACGATGAAGGCCTTGAAATTTCTTTCCTTCATACTATGCACCATATGATATATGCTTAAGGAACTTATTAACAAACCTGTATCCGTAAGTCTTACAGAAACGCTATGTTGATTGTAAAATGCAATAATGATTTGAAAAAGGGCTTGCTATTCTCACTCTGGTCGCAACACAAAACATTGAGTGTCTTAACGATATTAAAAATTCATTCAGATTGTTAAGGAAAGAATTTTACAATCTCGGGAATAAGGTATTATTAGCAGCTTCAAATGACTTCATAGAAACTATCAATTCTCATGGTTCATTCTTCTAATTCTCTCTCATTAAAATGGGAAAAGATAGCCTTGAAATTTCTGCACTACAGGCTGCGCTCCGAATGATATATCCTTAAGAAAATGTGCCACACACCTGTATCCAAAAGCTTTACATTTGAACTGGGCGATTGAAATAACAGGTAATGACTCGAAAGAGAACTTGAATACTGTCTTGTTTCAACCAAAAACATTAAGCAGTTTAACGACGTTTTAAACATTGATGAACACACTATTGTTGGTGATGACCTAATGTAGGATATACTCTACACGCTATTTTCAATCCTAAAACTATGCTAATTTGCTACAATCTTAATAAGGTGTTGCAATGAACTATACTTCCGTTAAAGTTGAACCGTAATATCGAGTAATCAACTATGCATCCGTTCAAGCTGAACCGTAATATAGAGTAATCAAGTATAAGAAATACGATAATATGGTTCAACTTAGCATCTTATTAAAGTTGCAGCAAATATAAACGATATTATGGTTTAAGAAGATTCAGAATTTCTGAGAGTGCAGTGCAGCTATCACCATGAAGCTCTAGTGAGGTTATCAAAGCTCTTCGTCAGAAGCGAGTCCTACAGCACTGTATAGATAAGATTGCATATATACTGCATACATTTCTGCATTCTTTTACTTGAAATGTGGTCATAATTTAAAATAAGCACTAACATTTTGATTCAAAATGTCATCTTACATTAATCAAGATTTTGATCGAAGAAGACACATAAGAATGCGAAATAAATAACAAAATATTCTACATATTTTATTTTTTGATCTAATAATAAACCCGTTAATTTTCAATTTCAATTATTATGTTTGTTGATTTTGAACTGACATAAAAGAAGCTAGTTTAGTAGTTTCTTAAAACTCCACCTAATATCTGAATAAAAGGGTAAATTTTATTTCTAGTTTAATTTTTTCAGTTATTAATTTAAAAACCAACAAAAGTTCTTCCACTTATTAGCATGAATTCGAAGAGATTGCCACTCAGAACGTTTTATAAAAAATTTTTATTTGTCAATTCTTTTCATGCAAATCGTATTTTCTTATCTTTTTTAAAGTGGTATTCTTAATAATTTTTCACAATAATATTTTGAATGGTTTTCTATAAAAGTTTCAGTTAATTTTTAGAATTCAATTAATGTTAATGAATTGCAATATTTTAACGTATTTAAGATAATTTTCTTAATGAAATAAAACAAAAGTTTTTTTTAATTAATTTTAAATAAAAAATGTTTTTAGATTTTAAATTAAAATATTTTAAGGGAATGGTAATTTGACTGGAAAAGATCTTTAAATGTCATTATATTATTTTTTTCTCAGGCTCTTAATTTTAAGAGACTAACAGAAAGATAAAAAGATTGTGACAAAAGTGAAAGAAAAAAAGAGACTTTTTAAGATCATTATATAAAATTTTAATTCCTCAGACACTATTTGATAGTTGATTTTCGAAATTTATTTTTATGCATAAAAATCCTTACTATTGCACGTAGTAAAAGAAAAAGATTTTTTTAAATACTTTAATAGTTTGAATGATGAACATTTTGTGAAAAGTTATACCAAGTTTTTCAATGATATGTGAATAGAAATTAGAAATTTAATATATAAATTCACTGTTCTTTTCAGTCATTGCTCATAAAGGTAAGTAAAATAAAAATTGTGCATCGAGATATAATAAGTGTACTGGTTTTAAATGAAATTTAAGTCATTTATTTAAAACAAAGAATAATTTTCAGTGTTTAATATTACTATACCGAATAGTGTAAAATATACTAGCATGACTAAGACTTTTCAATAATAATTTCAGTGTTTAATATTATTATAATTGAACATTGTAAAATAGATCAGTATAAGTCAGAATTTTCAATAATTATAATAATTTTTCAATAATCAGTGTTTAATATAATTAAACTGAATGGTATGAAATATATTAGTTAAACTAAGAATTTTAAATGATAACTTTCTGTCTTTAAAATTTTTCATACTGAATAGTGTTTAATTTATGACTGAGAACAATATCTGTCATTATTGCATTCAAAATAAATTTCAAGTGTGGTTAGATTAACTGTGGTTTGGATTTCAAAACATTTTTATATAGCTATGTCTATCAAAATAATTTTCGCATTATGAATAACTAATTTTTTTTTCTTCATAGCTGCACAGTTCGTAGATGGTAAGTATAAAAAATTGCTATTAATACGCTTGTTTCATTACTAATTAGACATTTAATGAATTTATGTTAGAAATAAAAATTCAATTAAATGTGATTAAATGTTTACTGAAAAATAATTATTTCCTGTTTTCAAAGTAAATGATCATTGTGCTTTTATGTTTTCATACAGTTTCTTTTTGATATGTACTCGACTATAAAATTAAAAAAACTGTAGAAATGAAACCGGAACAAACTAGGAAAAGAAAACAATGATAAATGATACACTCTTTATCGCTTTTATCTGTTGTCTAGTCTTGGAGAATATTTTTACTACTGCGTTAAAGCAGGAATAAAAGCAGATAAAAATGCAAGCATACATTTAAATTTAGTTCCATAATTACTTGACATTTAAACAGGAATAAGCTCAGAGTACAAAATGAAACGTTAGAGTTGTTTCAATTACAAAATTTTGATCTCATCTCTCAGATTTGATATTTTGTAGCATCATTTGAGGCAAACAGTTTTTCAAAATTTTCTAATCCTAATTAAGTATTTTATGTTTGTAAAAAATATATAATTATATTCTGAAAATTTTAAATACTATATAAATTTGACTGAACATTACAACAACAATTGTCATTAAAATTGGCATTTTATGTTTGATTGCGTATTATATTTTTTACAAATTTAATTGATAATTACCGAGGAAAATAATTTTTAATGTGAAAATATTATTTTTTAGAAAATACCAGTAAGTAAATCACAATATTGACTTTAAAAAATCAATTATATGTAAAAAAATATTAATAAAAATACTTTTAACACTATTTTAAAGGTGAAACTATATTTTTGATCATTAAAAGATTCCTGAAAACAAACACTAAATTTGATGTTCTATTTCAGAAAATTTTTATATTTAGTTTTGTAATAAAATGGAATGCAACAATAAAACTGAAAAGCCAAATCAGTTGTATGTTTGTGAATTATACTTTTGGCCGCTGCACTAAAAGATTTCTGAAACAGAACGCTAAATTTGGTGTTCTATTTCAAAAAACCTTCATATTTAGTGTTTTAATATAAGGGGATGCAACGATAAAAAGGAAAATCCCGATTGACTGTATGATTCAGAATTATACTTTTTAACTATAAGAGATATTTTTAAATGAAGCACTAAATTTGTTGTTCTATTTCAGAAAACTTTTTTCTTATTGTTGCATAAAAGTGGATGCAACTATAAAAATTAAAATCCAGATCGCTTATGTGATTTAGAATTGTATTTTTGTTCGTTAAAAGATATTTGAAATAGAACACTAAATGTGGTGCTCAACTTTAGACAAACATTTTACATATTTAGTACTGCATAAACATAAAAATGAAGAAGCAGATCGGTTAGCGATTTAGACAAATGAGGTACCTCACATTGTTATTCTTCATTTCTGACCTACATAAAATTGTTGAATAATTTGCAGTTAAAGTGTGTTCTAAAAAGTCCTTCGAAAAGTCAGATGCTTTTTTGTTGTTGTTATTTTCAATAAAATAGTTTTGCTTTCGTTCATTTTTAGTGTTGCATAAAAAGTAATGAAGCATTAAAAATGAAGAACCAGATTGGTGGTCAGATTTAACATTATGTTTTGATCATTAAAATATTTCCGAAATGCAACACTAAATTTGATGTTCTACTTCAGGCAACTTTCACATTTAGTATTGCATGTAATGACATACAATCATAAAAGTGAAGAATCAGATCGGTGGTCTGATTTTAATCATTAAACGATTTCCTAAAGAGAACACTAAATTTGATGTTCTACTTGAGAAAACTTTCATATTTAGTGTTGTATGTAATGAGATGCAATCATGCAAATGAAGAGTCAGATCGTCCAGATTCCGACAGATGAGATACTCTTACATTGTTAAGTTTCATTTCTCATCTTCATAAAAAATTTTTTTAACAATTTGAACTAAATGAGTTTTTTTAAACGCTTTCAGAACAAGACAATTTTTTGATAATTTGAATGAAATGGTTTTTAAAGATTTTCTGTAAAATTCCTTGTTAAATCCATGTTTATAATGAGTATGCTTCATACAAGCATTATAGCAGTTTACCAATACATTAATAAAAATTATCTCTTTGAACCTGAAATCTCGTAAAATCTGTGGTCGAAATAAATGAGTTCGACTTAATTTTTTTAAATTAGCTGTTATAAACGTGCCAAAATTCATTTTTTATTTTGTAATAAAACTGCTGAATTAACTTTAATAAAATTTACTTAATCAAGAATCAAACGCAAAAGTAAACCACTTTAAGAAAGGATATTAAAACAAAATTTTCCAACAACATTCCCTAAATCGATTTAGTTTTTCTTTAAATTTTGTGATAGTTGATAGCATTTGTAATACAACAACTTGTTCAATGTGTCCAAGCACTGTGTTTTTAAGGTATGCTCTTATATTTAATACAGGAATGTTATTGTATTTGAAATATGAAATATTTAGGATGAAAATTTTGATTTTAGTGGCAAATTTTTTTTTTTTGAGAGTTGAATAAGGTGCTAAAAATAATAAGAAAGAAATCTTTATACTAAATATTATAAACATTGCACAAAATTCAATGAATATTGAGATAAATTTACTGATGTTATGAATTAATTACGATTTGTTTTTTTCACATCACTATAGGTGGAGCTATAGACCGTAAGTAATTTCTATATTTACGACATAAAAGTTATAATAAATACAATAAATATGAAAATAAGATTAAAGTTATTTGTAAAACTCATGCATTTTCCATTTTTAATATAATTAATTTAGTAAAGCGTGGATTTGTTTCCTATGCATATGTTTAATTCATTAGTTTAGTAAACTTAAGCTTTTATTATTTATAACTCATAAAAGACAACATTGTTTTATATTTAATTATCGAAATTGTCTCTGAATGTGCCTATGTTACATATAATACGTTAGTGTTTATATTAAATTAAATCTTAATACTAATCATTTATTAAAAATTAATTAAAAATGAATTGTGTTAAACTCTTTCACAAATATGAGTTTGATTCAATATATTTAAGGGCTGCCTGAGTTATAGATAAGATCTATTTAATGATTCATTATTCGACATAATATAGTTTTCATTGATTCATTATATTATTGTTTTTAGAGATCATTCAAGGAGGTAAGAAATTGATCTATTCTATAGAAATTATTGTATGGCGAAATAAAGTATTAGTTACCTAAAATAGTTAATTCATTTTTGGAAATATTTTAAAAATATATTAAAACATTATATTATATTTTATGGCAATATTTCTAGAATATATTTGAAACTTACCAATTAAATGCATTTAATTAAAATAATAACAAACTTTATGAAATTAATTGCAATAAAACTATGTTTTTTTTAATATTTTCAATGCAAATTTTGTGTAACACAAATTAATATTTATTCCGAATAATTTACCATTGTAGCTTATATATTTTTACTTTATGTAGTTTCAAGTATTAGAGATTATACCTTATATAAAAATAACTAGCATAAAAACTTTCATCAAATTTAACTTAACTCATTTAATTATAATGGAATGTTTTTAAACTAACATAGAAGTTAAAAACAGAAAAAAAAACAATGTAAAAATAAATATATAATGTATATGATGAATAAATTTACTTAAAAGATTATATTTTTTTGACAATTGGATAGATATATAACTCCTATAAATAATTTTAATGATTACCTTAAAATTCTTTAAAAAAGTTAATTGTTTTTTGATTATTTTAAACTCGCATAATTTAAAATTTTATTTATTTTTGCTTACTTATTACTTACTATTTCTTTTTAGATTTGGGATTCATTGAAAGTATGTTTTTTTTCTTCATTATTCCTAACTTTTATCATTCCATCTTTTTTTTTTATTAATTTTAAGGATGATTCTGAAAACGCATCATAAACTTATGAGAATGCTTTTTATCGACATAATTATTTTTGGATATTTATTTTCACTATTATTTATGCAACTAATAATTTCTAATTTTAAAAATAAAAGCAATTGTTATGAGCTTAGTCTCTAATAAGGCATTCATTTTCTGTTCCGAATTTGAAACGAAAGTAGTTTATCGATGCTAAACGAAACAGTGTTAGTTTATTGAATTATCCATTTATCAATTCGATAAGAATTCAATAAAAATCCGAGAAAAAAGGATATAATCTCTTCTTCAGCTCACACGATTATATCCGCTAAAAGTAGTGCTTTCTCATATTGTATCAATATAGAAAACGCAAAATATATCAATACAATATATCAATACAAAACAATTTTGAAGCAAAATAGAGCATATTAAATAATAAAATATCACGTAAAAGGCAAAAGAAAAAAAAACGTAAAGAAAAGACAGAACAAAACACAAAATGAAATCTATAAAGCGAGTAGCGAATTCAAATGAACTAACATGTACGGTAAAATTTTCAAGAATGATTCAAAATATTTTCGCAATACAATTGCCAGATTATAAACTATGAAAACATAAGCACAAATTGAGCTAAAAGCGTAAATGGAGACATTTTGTTTTATAGCGCGTTCTTGCTGCAGTACTGAAACAAGTTTGATTTGTTAGTTACCAAGGATTGGCTCGAAAATGGCCCATAAATAAAACTTAATTTTATTCATTTTTCTCTTTTTTCTCCTTATCCTTCCTATATTTCATTTATTGTGATATATATATATATATATCGTGGATTTTTTTCCTATGCATATG